AATGTGAATAATTTTGATAATCCCAGAGTTTCACTTTAACTGAATTAATTTGCAGTTGTATTGGCAATTTGTGTGTCCTGTTAATCCCTTTATATTACATACATATTTGATGCAAAGTTCAAAATTATTGACTCACTTTCTCTGTCCTTTTCCTTCCAATTTTAAAATCCATTCCTCTGCCTATGTCTTACTCAGCAGGAAAAGTGTTCTTCCCATTTGACCACTAAAAGCGTTACAAAATTCAAACATTGATATCTAAAAACAACATGTAAATTACTATGGGGTGGACAATAACATAACATACATTGTGATAGACATTATCCATATTAATAGATAATACATCTTATAGAATTTTCAATAATTTTACTCACCTCTGATGCAGTACCACACAGCATTCTGGGGGATGTAGGCAGAGGAAAGGCTTCAGCCCCTCACGTTTTCTTTGCCAGCTAAGCAACATATTTGGCATCAACTAAGATTCTATGGATACATAGCAACAACCAGTTGATTAACTAATGTAGCAGACGTTTGAGGTTTCACCACCATGCCTCTTAAAAGCTTAAAACTAAAAAATAACAATGTGGAGTGAAACTTCCGGATAAAACTGAAACTGCCACGCACCAGGTTGGTAGTATCTTAGCCGTTTAAAACAAAAAAACAACAACAATTATTCAGTAACACTGTCCAGCCCTAGTTATCAAAAACATAACATACATTGTGATAAGACATTATCCATGTAGTATAGGCTACGAATATTTACTTTTCTCTTCTATATTTGATGAAGTTCATTGAGTCATCAAGACAACAACCCAATGACTGAAAAATTTAACAGTGACGTTGCGTAAAATGAGTTAAAACATAGCAAGGGTGAGAAACAACTGTGGGAAAAAAACTGTCTTGGTTAATGGTAATCCCTTCAAGCAGGGGTTAACAGATGGCAAAAATTCCTTCCAGTAAATCCCAGACCTACTTGGTACTTTAATTATGTGCTTTCATCTCCTCAGACCATACAAACTGCAGGAAAAAAAACATCCCCCCATGCTGTTCAATGTGTGAGCATGTGTGCAGGTCTGCTCTGAGGGACAGAGGTAAAGAGAAACAACATGTTTGTTTCCCAGAACGCAAAGCCACAGCACTTCTTTAAAAGAAGCGCGTGAGTTTTGAATGAGACAACCCGATTCCCCAAAAAACAAATGAGGGAAGCAAACACAATGGAGCCCCCACCATCACAGTTGGAAAACTTTCCCACAGATGGAAACTGGCTTTGAACCTTCTTTTTTCCCCCTTTCGGTTTTATGAACAAGTTTAGGCTAAAGGCATGCTCCTTTATAGAAACACACTGAGTGCAGACTTTGCCTTCATTTACTGATCCAATGAAAAACTGAATGTGGACACGCAGTGAATGGTTGACTCATGTGTCAGCACAGCCTAAGTCTTGCAAACACTTCAACAAAAGATCTCAGATAACATTACTGAAGCTTGATCCACCCATCCATTTTCTCACACCATTGTTCCTAGTGCAGTCGGGAGGGATGCTAGTGCCCATCTCCAGCGAGAAATTTTGGGCGAGAGGCGGGTAGACCCTGGACAGGACAAACAACCATGCACGCACACACTCACACCTAAGAAGAACTGAGAGAGACCAACCCAACTCATGTTTTTGGACTGTGAGAAGAAGCCGGAGAGAACCCACGTAAGCACAAGGAGAACATGACCCGGGAATCAAACCTGGAACCTTCTTGTTGAAAGGCAACAGTGCTACCAACTGCGCCCCTGTGCAGCCCCTAAAACATGACATAGGCCGTTATCACGGTAGATGAATGAGAGTGACAACATGGCCCACTGTGGAGGGTATGCTAAACTACAATTAAAATAAAGTCACTATTAGCATTCCAAATACTTAAAAAGGCCATTTGCTGAAAGAACAGCATACTTGGAGCAGTAATTTACCCAAAACTTGGAAACAAACTACTTTGTAAATCTGTTCTAATATGTTAGAACTCTTCAAGTGGCTTAGTTTTAGCTTCACCTGTTTCTAATTCCATAAAATAATCTCCTATAATGCATCTTTTGCAATCCAATTATAAATCAGTTAATCAAAAAACAACAAAGAAAAACAAAAAAAAAACAAAAACAGATCAGTCCCACATTGTACTGATGTTAAGTCAAATAGAAAGGGCTGATCTTTGGAGATATTGATGTTAGAAGTATTTTTTTTTTAAGCTGTAGATGCATCTCTTATTAGAAATGATCGGGCATACACTGAAGAGGTGCTTTGTTATTTCATTTTAGGAAATAAAATGTTTATTTTCATTTTTTAAAAAGTAAATTAATTGTTTATTTTCATCTTTTAATGCATTTCTAATTAATAATTATAGCCGCTCCAAACAGATGATTTTGGTAACATAGAATTTCATTAATTCATCCATTATCAGTTAGAAACCAATGTAAGAGAGGTCTTCCTTCAAGGTGTCGTGTGAGTAGAGGCCACTCAGCAGCAGTTTGTGTTTCTGTGTGTACTGCTTACGTAGTCATTTTTCTGTCTAAGTCACTGGATCATACCTGCTGGGCATTAGTTGTATAAACAAACATGATAGATAAATCTCCTGCTTTGCTGTCAAAATGGGTCGTTTACTTATGTTGTCTCAACAGATGAATGAGTTTAAAGCACAAAACTACTTTTAAAACTATAGCCTCACCAACAACGCAGTCCCTGCAGGGAGAGCAGTTGCGTCGATGTTGTCTGTGATAAATTCTGTTTTATGGCAGCAACTGATAAGCTGTTCGCTTCGTCTGGCACAATTGTCTGGTGAGCCGCTTGAGCATCCTCACATGGTCATCCTCCACCTATTTCAGTTTTGTAACATGCTTAAATAGGAAAAACTAAGTATGCCATATTTTTCAAGCTGACAAAATATATAAATCATTCACCAAAAGGTCTCATCTGTTTGGGCAGGTTCTGGAAAACAGATGAGATGAATCTGACTCAGACCCTTTATGGTAAATATGGCATGATCATCGGAATTTCTGAGCTTTGGCTTGTCTGCAGTTTCAAAAAAAAAAATCATTTCACCCAGACACTGTTAATATTCCTGGCAAGAGATTGCTCATAAAATACTGAATCAGAGATCCACAGAAAGCAGTGGATGAAGGAATGATATCTTCTGTTGAAAACTCAAAACATCCACAGAGTTGTTTGGTTCAATCCAGACCATAGCTTTTAGTTTTATTTTTCTCCAGAGGCATTTAGACCACAGATTGAAACGCTCAAGTGACATAGCTGCAATTTTTCTGCAGTAGAGTGTTCCAGCGTCATTACATTGGATGCATCCGTGCGCAGCTGCTGGACAGACATTTGGACAATGTCCTTATGAGTGCAAGATTACCTATTCTGGAAGGAGTTTAACAAAACATTATTAATAAAATAACCAAGTAAAAAACTTAAGACTCTATTATTCATTGAGGAATTATTCACTGGGGTATTTGTTAGCTGAAGCCCTAGAAGATTTCCCTTCTACAAATTTTGCTGTTGGGGACAATTTTTTTTTAAAGTCACTATGGAAACTATGCTTTTGAAGCAGTCTCCAGTCCTCTTGGCATTCACATATGCAGTTGAATTGCACCAAAGTTCGAAATTCAACTGAATCGAAATGAACTCCTGAAGGAGCGCAAGCCATCGCTCATAAAAGGCTGCTTAAAAACTAACTTGAAAACTACAAGAGGCTAGTCTTCCAAGCACCTGTTGAGCTTATACCACTAAGAAGAAGGCAAAAAACGGTCCAATTCCAGAGTAAGCAAGGTGTGCCAAATAAAGTGTTGACTGTGCATGATGTAGAGGAATCAGGGTGAAATTCACAGGTGTGCAGAGTTGGACAGGTAAAATATGCAAACGTCCACAAAGAGAAAAGTCCAATCAAAAGAACTGTTTAGTTGACAAATGAATCATCACTAGTTTATACTAGTGCACATAGCCTTTCCACATTGGACAAGTAGTAAATTGCAGCCCAAATAGATGAGATTAAATAACACAGTAACTTCAACACAAAAAAAAACAAAAAAAACTCTGTAAAACTCTAATGTAAGCAAAGAAGAAGTGAAATAACCAACACAACAAATATATTCTATTTTCCCATTTATTTTTCAGCATGCCCACACTCTGTCACTCCAACAACCCACGACGCAGCCCAGGCGCATGTGGGCCTGTCAAACATTTGCATCTTTGCACCTCGATCCTTCACACATGAATGTGACTGTACAACCGTCCATGTTGCAGGCGTGTTTGATGCAGAATTGTGTTGCTGCACATACCTACGTGCCAACTCCAGGCCAGTCCTGCGACAGTTCTATGTCACAAGGCAGAAAACATTAACATGCTGAGTCTGCAGCAAGGCACAGTCACCAGGGAAACATTTCAGCCTGACACACACAGCCAGCCAAAACACATCGCCTTAAAGGCACCAGCAAAACAAGTTATCTAAAATCCCACATACATAAACACAAAAAGGAGCTTTTAAACTTAATGTACACAGGCAGAATAATTACGATCTTGAAAGCGTTTATTAAAGAAGGTGGGACTAATTGGCCCAACCCTCACTTGTCCGCTACAATTAAAGATAACTACACTGAACAAAACATTTCAGTGTGTTAGACAGCTGCTGATATTTGACACGCACACTCTGAAGCAACAAAGACCTGGGGAGAGGCTTTGCCTAAGCAAATAAGTTTCTTTAGGCTTCTTCTTTGTGTGACCTTAACTTGGGTAAACATTTGAGAGAAATTGCAGACCCCACAACCCTCATCTTTCTTTTTTTCTTTTTTTTTTTTTTGCCTCTCTCTCAGCCAAAACACAGGCATTAAAGTGACGAGCAGCAGGCCATGACTGGAAATCTGTTTATTAAGCAAAAAATTTGGCATCCACACGAATCAGGTCAAAGGCTGGACTGTCTGCACGATCCTGTTCAAATCCCAGATGACATATTATGTGTCAAGAGTCAGCTTACCTTTTTGGCAATGATGGGAATTCCAGCAGCGGTAGTTGTAATTGTTGTTGAACATGGTCTTTTTGCACATGGGATTGTTTTCCATGATGCCTGGACAAACGTCACTGCACTCTTTGGACTGCTTGTTCCCTGCGATGTAATTGTTGAACTCTGCATCCATGATGAGGGACCAGTCTATGGAGTCCAGGTAGCAGAGCTCTGGGTTCTTCTCAATGCGAATGGCCCCCCGGGTGATGTTTCTCAGGTTGTACAGGCCGATGTCCTTCAGGCTGGTCATCTCAAAGATCACCAGGGCGTAGTTGTAGAAGAGGTTACGGCCGCGTATGACAGAGAGGTTAGGGAAGAGAGTGCTCAGGCTGTCCAGGCCTGACACTCTGAACAGCAGCAGGTAGTCCGTTATCATGGTCAGCTTGGGGAAGCTGAGGGTGCGGAAGACTTCCTGGTTGAAGTTGTTGTTGCTTTTGTCACCTATGAGAAGGATCTGCAAGTAGCCCTCCACCACTGTGCAGTTCTCCAGTTGTCTGAATTCACTTATGTTGTTGCCGATGTCGATGCTGGGAGTGCAGACTGCAAGAGGGAGAAACAAAAAGGAGGTGAGCGGCCATAGGTGCATGCAGACTGCATCAGTAAACAAGCCGAGGTTCTTAAACAGTGGCAAAAAAACCCACTGAAGGTATTTGGGCAACCTTTAGAGGTACTCGCAATAAATTTTAATGTGAATTATTTGCAAGATATGAATAAAATTACTACGATAAAGTGGGCAACAATGAGTCAGAAACTGTTGTATTTACCTCTGAAGTCAGAACTTGGGAATGATACTAAACCCAATTCAGTTATGTTCCCATTCCAAGTTCGAAAACAAATTGGATTTGCCAATTGACACAAGTGGTCAGGCTAACTATTATCAGTAACAAAAGGTCATAATAATTAGTTTGTCCTTATAAACAGTGTAGAAATGTGTACCAATGGGTTTGTGGGATACTGTATTTAAGGGATTTAATAAATACAAACTGTTGAAAGTGAAAAATACATTGTATCAGCAGATATAAGGCAGCCACAATGGATTTTTAAGGTACAGATTGGTGAAAAACATCTGACTTTCCCACTTCTAGGAACCGTTCTGGTTGTCTTTCCAACCCGAAACTTGAAGATTTCCACTTCTGAGAAAAAATGACCACCCTGTGTCCTTGGATCAATATTGCAGCATCAATGGATACAATTTATTTTTTTTGTCTCAATGTTTTTACATTTTTTCTTTTTTTTTTTTTTTAAATCAGCCCCAAAAATGATCATGTCTGATGTAATATGGTTTAGAATGTTTTTCAAGATGGTGATACTTAGAAAACTTGCTATTTACCAAAATGGTAAACAGCAACTGTTTTGGTATGAAAAAACTGAAAGTACTTGCTCTCTTATTTTATTTCATTTTCAGTTTTTCTTCTTTCAATTGTATTTACTAGAAGCTTATTTAGTATACCAGCAAAAACTGCTTTTAGAAATCAAGATATTTCATTTATTGGATCACTCCTTGGTGTTAAAAGTATATAAAAAACAAAACACACACTGTATTCCAAATTATTATGCAATTTATATTTTCTTAAATATAACTTGCACATGATGGTCAGTATAATCATGAGTATTAGAGTAAAAATCAAATTTTACTGAACAAAGCTCCCCATTATTTTTTCAAAAATAAAAAAAACTCAAATGCACTGTTCCAAATTATTATGCACATCAGATTTTCAAAACATTTTATGGATTATAAATGGTCATTCTTTGAATCTGCAGCGTTAAGTGGTCACAGGTACTAAAATCAAAAGCTATTTCAATCAAAAACCTCTTAACACACCGAGTTACATGTTAACATATCACCTGCACAATTCTTGCATCCATTGAACTTGTGAGTTTGTGGATAGTTTCTACTTGAATTTCTTTGCAGGATGTCAGAATACCTTCCCAGAGCTGCTGTTTTAATATGAACTGCATTCCACCCTCAGATCTTCTGCTTGAGGAAACTCAAAATATTCTCAATAGGGTTGAGGTCAGAGGAGGATGGTGACCACACCATGAGATTCTCCCCTTTCATGCCCATAGCAGCCAATGACACAGCATGAGATGGTGCATTGTCATGCATGAGGATGACTTTGCTACAGAAGTGCACTATCAATATTTGTCATATATTCTTTATGAACCAAGAAAGAAAGTGATTAGTCAGAAAGTCCATATACTTTGCTGAGGTCATTTTCACACCTTTGGGGAATCTGAAGGGGCCGACCTGCTCTCTCTCTCTCTCCATCATTTCTCTTTACTATGGCCTTCTTAATAATGTGGAACATCCTTCTTAAATAAATTCCCCGTAATTGAGCTCACCAGACAAACTAATCAACCCAGCTCTCTGAAATGATAGTGATTCAAATAGTCCTGGCACACAATACCATCTATAAATTTAATAGCACAACAACAACAAAAAAATCTTTATAACACTTAAATCCAAATTGCGTAATAATTTGGAACACGGTGTACACAAACACTCCATTCCTGTCATTGTAAAGCTCACAAAACATGTTTATAATATTCAAATATTGACAGTGCTCTTGAGCTGTGCTGTTGTTGGCAGATGTTTGTCTTCCTGTTCTCATTCTTTAAAAGCGACTTCACATGGTGTGACAAAGTAAACACTTGAATCGGGTTGGATTCATGCTTAGTTTAACAATAAACTTTTGACTTCCCGGCTGTTGTTACTCAAGCATAAGCCTCATTAACCCTTACTGTTTTGTTTCTCAACTTGCTTTTAAGAGGCTTTCATAACATTTTATCAAAAGACACTTTTTAATGAACATGTACATGTCTGAATATCATACAGTTAAAAACATTTTTTTGCATGAAAAAGTATATAAATGTATCAGCTGGTCAAGATGTTTCCCCAGCTACATATTAAGATCAGATTTAAAAAAAAAAAAATAACAATGACAATACCCTTATGTTTAGAAGAAAAACATATCGACAGCTCAAACTGACTGCAGTGTCTTTATTTTTATTTATTCAATTTAACTGAGGATTTTAGGGGCAACTGTACCCCAGTGGTTAGATTGAGCTTCTGCCTTGTGGTATGTATTTTATATATTTTGCCCACTTTTCTTTGTAAAGTAGCTCAACAATAGTCAAACTGAAGAGAGTGCATCTGTGAACAAGAATGCTTAAGTCTAGCCACAAACTGTCAATTAGATGAAGGTCTGAACATGACTAAGCTTTAATCTAAACCATTCCATCGTTGCTCTGGTTGTGTAGATCTTTTCTCCCGCTGGTAGTTTAACATCTACCCCACAATGGGTTTCACTGTGCTTTTTAATGCATTTATTTTTTGGCTTGATCGGTAAAATAGGCAATTATAATTGTTTTCACTATGTGGTGGCTGTGATAACTTAAAAATGAAATACAAAATTACAAAATAGAAAGTTATCAGGTCCTTGGAATTTATGTAGGCAGTCATTTCCATCCAAAAATTGTTCAGCTATTCCGGCTGACATTAAAATGTTGACCAATCAACACTGCCAACAGGGTAAATCTCCAAAATTCAACACACACTGTAGTTTTTGTCCAAATGCTGCTGTCCCACAATAGAAATCTTCCCCTCTAGAAATCTTACAGTTCATGCTCGCCGATTAAATGAATTAAAAAACTTCCCTTCAACAGGAATGAAATGTCTTGGCTTTGGACCAAAGGCCACAGAACAAAAGGTACTAGTTTGACTTTTGATGTGCACAGATTGGAAATAAATGCATTATGAGTGCTTCTGAGGTTTGCTGAAGACCAACAATACTTCACATTATTGCTTTTGCTGAAAATGTGTTTACCTTGATTCCATGTCCACACCAACCTCTATTGTAAACTAACTGCTACAAAAACTAAGATCAAAACACAACACTTTGTACAGTGTGTGCTCCTGAATTATGCAAGCCTGTGTGCAGAAAAGTTTGGTGACTAAAGACTGTAATGACTGTTGATGATAGGTGAAGTGTTTACCTTTCCAGCTCTTACTCCCACCTGGAAGATGGGCTCAAAACAATACTCAGCCCGAAGCCCCAGCAGCACCCACAGCAGCATGGAAGCCATTATCGCACATCACTGTGAGGAGGCTTTGCACTTCAAAAGCTGGAGGGCATTGAGTCATGGAAAACTCACACCAAGCAGCTAACAGGTTGTCACACTACCACTTAAATGCTGGTCTGTAAAGTTATCCTGTTTGAATGTGAAACAAGGAAAGCTGGTGGATTTCCAATAAAGACATTGTGTTTTCCTCATGATCCCACCACATGAATGGGAGCTTTTATACCTTCACAGTTGTATAAGATGCAACATTTTTACCATGCCAACTTTGCAAGACAATACTGCATGAGAGAGGAGTGACTTTCCACCTGCTGTGAATGCATAAACCCAGTCCATGTGGCAAGCAGAGCATGAATGCCTGATAATCAACTGTAGTTAAAAGACTTAAATGTAAATATTTATAAATGTTCCAATATAATTGTAAAATTAGGGAAAAGAAATTATACAAGATTTTAGGTCCTAACGTACACCAGTGCAAAGTTATAGGCAGACTTTTATAAAACATAGGGAAATTTGATGTGGTTTTGGACAAGAAGAGATGGTATGTTTGTTCCCTGTCAGCCATCTGAATACCTGTTAATGCAGTCTCAACATGCAGGCCTATAAAAATGCACACTGACTGGTGATGTTACATCACCACAGCCTGGATGCTTTACCCTCGGTGGCCTCTCTGCAGATCCGGCATGTCTGTCTTTCACAGGGCACTTCTGCTAATTATGCTCGTGTCGATCCTAACCAGGAGATTCTGATCAAAATACACATGCTTACATCAGCAGAGGGAAAACACCAATGACAGGTTTAGCAGCCTATTAGCTCCCCCCCTCCCTCTGCTTCCGCACTGACAGATTTTGAACAGCTGAATACACAAGCCTATCTTTGCAACTTTGATGAGCCTCCAGATCACATATTTACTTTTGATAACCTTTCCGGAACTGGCTGTAGCACCCAGACAATCAGAGGAAATCTACTTGAAGCTCCATGAAACAAGAAATAAAAGAGGATACACCTCAGCTGCTGCCTCATCCATCGCCACTAGGCGACATCCAAACTGTTTACTCCTCATTTCCAATATATTTTGACAAGGTGCCCCAGAGGGCAAACGTATTCATAAAAAATTATTTTCCACACGAGAAAGAAATTCATCGGAATGATTTTGCAGAACTCAGTCTTGACAGAAAACCTGTTTGGTAGATCTGAAAAGCAGCGGCGCTGACCTTGGATAAACCAAACGGGAAGGGAGCCCCCTCCATTCACAACCGATACAGTAAATCAGAAAGAATGCCCAGAGTCTAGCCACACCAGTCATATTTAGCCAGCCGAACACCGGCGCTGGATTTCAACGAAAGAACCCCTCCACTGCTCCAGGGTTCATCCTGTAACCACCGGAGGCTTACAGTAAACTCTGTAACACAGTCCACAAGCTCCTCACTCTTCCCAATCAACAGAACTCAGTCTGTTTGGCTTGTGAATATTCTTTGGTTTGTTCTATTTTAAAACCAGGACCCTGATTCAACCCAGTAAACCACACCTCCCCAACATGTCATGATGAATAAGGATGAATCAGGAAGCAGTTTAAAGTTTAGCTGGAAGCATTTCAGGTGGTAATACAAAAAACAAAAGTTTAAATGGCTTAATAAGCCTCAACTTAATAAAATTTGAAGGTTTACAAGGCATCAAAAGCTGTGAGGCTTGAATTCTTGACATTTTAGTCACACAAAAGACTAGCTCTTTATTCTGCAAAAGTCTTGTTGTCACTTGTTAAAGTTATGTTAGATGAAAGCAGTAGAAATGGATCAAAAAGTATGAAATCACTGCTTTTATGTAAATAAATCTGTTTGATTGAAAGGTGCAGCTGGTGCCTCAGGAATATTTTTAACATATTTCCAAGGTCGAAATATCCTTTGGCTTGTAATACAAAGGGACATAAATGACTGTTAATGCCCCATGGATAATTTCTTGGCCGTTTGAATTTTACTTTATGCATGCATTATGGCTTGGTTGTGCAGTTTGGTGTCCTTTTTATTTGTTTATAACCTTTTTTAAGTCTTTTATAAGTTTTTAAACTAAAATATTTTTGTACCACTGACTGCCATACAAGACATATTTTTACATATTATCATTAACATTTTATGTCTGTTTTTTTTCAGTCAATTACATTTCAATCCCATCAAAGCCGCAGATTTTACCGTTTTCCATGAGGCAAAATTAGTTTTTTATGTATTATAAATCAACCATTCTGCAGAGGAAGAAAAATATCCTAAATTGAAAACTTCTGACTTTAAAAGATGATCAGAATGAGTGTTCCCACAGTTTCTTGATAAACCCAGGATTGCCCAAATCAACCAAAATGTCCAGTTTGTATACATGATATGGGGAAAAACTTTATTCAGCTCTCAAAAAAATAAAAAGGAGGGCATTTATTAATAAATCTGTTTAAAAAAAATAAAATAAAATAAAAATTAGATGCCACTGGGAAAAATGTACTGCTGCTTAACCTGCAATAATCTGAATGGCAACCTTACACAAATATGTCAAGATCCAACAAAGCAGAAAAGCTAATCAGACAATAAGTCTTGGATGTTTTTCTCTATATGTCTGAAGTCTCACCATTGACTATTTATTTTATATTTCTCTCTTCTATTTTACCCTGGATACAGACGAAAAGTTCAATCTTTACTTCTCATGTTCCATTTCCCTGTTGTTTTCCTAACGAGATAACAAACACCTATTACTTTTTTTCTGTTAATTTCAATTTACCACACTGTGACAGAGTTGACAGTGTGCTGTGCATGTGTAGCCTGGCTGACTTTCTCTGCTGCATGACTCAGAGTGATGGATGCAGAGTGCCAACATATCTGGGTTATGACTGTGGTGTGTTTGTGATTAGAGGTCAAGTGATGTGGGTTTTTCTATGGCCAAAGCCGATATTTAGAAATGAGTGCCGCTGATGGTCAATATTCCAAGACGATTATTTCTATTTGATTTGGAAGATGTGTTTTTTGATCTGGAATCAGAAATATGCAAAGCTCCCATCTTTACCAAGATGGGAGCTTTGACCTTCTACAAATGCCACTGTAGAAAATAATTATGGCATTATAATCTCTTATGGGATGTTATTCACTTTGCTTTAAATATTAAAAATGCCAGCTCATCTGCTTAATTCTTGTGCCTGTTGTGATGTCATTAGCCAAAATCAGACACTGGTAATTTTCCCCTAGATTGGCTATGATCAATGATCAACCACTAAAATGATGAAAAAAAAAAAAATTTCCCTACTATTTGTTAAATGCCTTGTACTTCCTTCATTTTCAGTTTGATTTAAGATCACTACTGTTATTAAAGATCCTCCAGCGCATTTATTTTTAGTGACTGGAGAAGAAAATGTGAACCCATCAATTAATTAATTCTTGTATGGTCCAAACCATTAAAAATTGGATGTTATTCAAGGGTCAGGGTAAAGAAGTCATTAAAATTCAGCTTTAAAACTTTTCACTATCTTGTAAATTAAATTGAGAAACCTAAACCATACCACAATTTAATCTGCCTTTGTTTTTATCTTATGTGTAAAACATTGGTACCGTTTCAAAGTCCAAAGAGTAGGGATATAATCTATATAGAAGTATAATTTAATGTAAAAAAAGAAAATTATGTCTGAATTTCAGATTTTGTGATTTTAAATTACAAAATATGGAAAACACACTTTTCCATATTAAATGTATATTTTTCCTGACGTATCTAGATTTAAAAATTGTAAGCTCAAATTCCACTTTTCCTGACTATATGGGATCCATGTTAACCAGACTGATGGCTATCTTCATCACCATGCACAACTAGAAAATTGTTTTTAATGACGTTAAAGATTAAAATCAACACCAACATTGCCTCGTTCTTTTATATCTGCACCAAAATTCATTGATCTGCAGAGGCCATATTTGCATATAAAGACTGCTTAACAATAAATGCAATGTTTACATCGCCGACAGAAATCTGCTGGATATAATTTCGACCGATTTTAAAACCAGCAACCGTAAAATCGCCGTGTTTGTGTTGTTTAATCGAGTGGCCCAGTCTTCCCACATACAATTTGTGCTGGGCATGGAAAAACATCGTGTCCCAGTGAGTGTGTTGCTGAGCAGCATTACTTACTCTCTGCGGTGGCGGGCCGAAGGCAGGAGGACAGAGCCAGCATCAGACCCCCAAACAAGGTCAAGCGGCTCCCTTCCATTTGAGACCTCATCCCCGTACACGTAAAAAATCACCAAACAATCCCGCGGGAAGATGAGTTGCGAAGATGGAGATGTGGGCAAAACCCGGCCACAGCGGTCAAACACCCTTTTTTTAAAAAAAATCTCCAACCAGCACCTTGTAGCTGTTAGCCGGCTAATGGAGCTAATAGCTACCGCCAGGACGCTAGCGAGGCTGCTCTCTCACGTTTCCTAACTGGAGTCCAGTCGTGCTCCAAAAATCACCGTTTTATCCCGCTGGCCAGACAGCGCGTATTCATAGCTCACTCTATCCCTGCCAAGCACAGCGCTGCATTGACGTGTATAATGAAAGCATGGCGGCTAAACTAGCGGCGGGGATTCCTCGGTGATCGTAATCCACATCTTCACACTCCATATCAACAGGGGGGGAAAAATCTTCAATGTCCTGCTGCTGCAGTGTCTCCGGGAAGCATGAAACGGTTCAGACGAGTCTGAAAATGGGGGTGAAACGAGGTGAAGCAGAGCATCCAGAGGCACGCTGCATTTAAGGACAGCACTGTTATCTGAAAGACGCAACGTCTCTGTGGAAATATTCACGACAAAATCTGGTTTCAGACCGAAGCCTCCTTCCTTCTCCTCCACCTCCTTCTCCTCCTCCTCAGCCGGTCATCACACGCTCACACACACCGCCTTGTTGTTGTAGACGTCGCTGATGGCAAAAGTAATGTCGGACTGCAAAGCATCCAATTCGGTCAAGATTTTTTTTTTTTGCAACTCGGTGCTTTTCGCCAATATATAGCCAAACGGGCAGCGTGGTTAGACAGATTAATGCACAGGTACACGCACGGTCTCGCTCGGTCAGTCTGCAGTCTGCTACGTTCGCTGTAAACACGGCGCCGTGCGCACAGATCGTCTCTGTCTGAAAGATGAATCACGCAGCTGTCCCAACTTAGAGAGCAAAGAGGGCGTCGTTTCTACTGCAGTTTAGCTTTAGTTACCATGGAAGCGCTGTCCAGCTTGATGCTAACTAGCCTTTTATCAAATAAATTAACTGTACCAACAAACTGACTCAAAAGAAGTCAAATTACTTAGTCACTGTCGTTAATAGAGAAGAATTTCCTCAAATCAAACTTCCTTTAGTATTTCTATAAGTAGATGGTCTAAGAACCCATAAATTCTGTAGTAAAAATAGTTATTTTTCGTCTTTTCTTAAAACGCTCACGATCGAATACAGTCACGATTAATATAGAATTAAAAAATTGACAGAGTGAGACCTCCGTGTCACTAGGCTAAATTGACACAGCCATAATCACTCTTCTTTTTTTTCTTCTTTTTTTTTTACAAGACGGCGTAAAGGAAATCTGGGATGCCAGTCCAGGATCGGATTTGTTTTGCTGTTCAGAAATGCCCGACGGAGCAACAACCCCCGGCTGCACATTGCAAGGGCCTTCTCTGACGGGGAAGTGCCGTCGTATACAAATACCATCTATCCTATGCGTGTTATGTGTCTTCTTAAAGACAACTTTCTTATTGGAAAAAAAAGCTATATTTACATCTAAAAAAGGTATTTCATTTTTCATGGAATATATCCCAGCTATTTTTACAATAAACTAATGATTTCATACGAAATAATTAAAAGAACCCTTATGAGATAAACAGATTTAACTGATTTGCAACGACATTTTAATGTAAATTAGACCGCTAATTGTGATAGTCTTGCAGCTTCTGTGTGCACCTCGTGGAAGAACATCCTCAAGGGCCGGTGTCCTGCAGTTTTTAGATGTGCCACAGGTACAAAACACTGGAATGAAATGGTTTAAATACCCTCTTCTTGTTTAGATAAGTTCTCCAGAGTTAGTGACCTAATTATTCTAGCAGGTGTGGTGCAGCAGAAGCACATCTAAAAGTTGAAGGACACCGGCCATGGAGGACTGGAGTTTGACACCTGTGGTTTAAAATAAGGTACTGGCTATTAGAGTAAGTCTAAAGAATAGTGAAACAAAATTGTTTTTAGGAGGCACAAGAAAAAAAAACAGTTTTATCAAAACTTTCTTCTGGGGATTATTTCAGAGCCTAAAGAAATTATTGTGTTACAGGGAATAACATGTAGGTTGAAGGATACCACAAACAGGACCCTTGCTGAAAATCACAGTGAGGGCCAAAGTTATGATACTGTGGGATCCTGCATCATCGATCTAGACTTTGAAGAAAGATGGCTGGCTGCTTAACAATAAAGTCATTCTTTTGTCAGCATGAGAATGGGCGGGTATAGATGGGGGGAGGGTTTATTTGTCAGGAGGATGGCAACTAAAAGCAAATATAATCCAAGAAGGGAAATTTGAAGATTATTTAATCTATTTACTCTTACTATGTTTAGGCTACTTAAAATTTTGTAATTTTTTTTCCACAAAATTGTACAACCATTATTCATAGATGTTTTGGTATTAAACCTAAATTTCTGAAATATTCCTTCTGCACAATTGAGTTTTGTAGGTGGTCCTGCAGCAATGTTTAACTCAACCAATTAGAGTGGGCATTATGCTGACATCTGGAGGAGAAAGCAAATAATTGCAGGTCTCCAATTAGTTATGTATTTTGTGGCAATGTCAGAAATAGATTGACATGCAAACGCATTACCAAAAATATTGACTTTGTTTTTCTATTAGAAGCTTGAGATATGTATTGAATAGAAGTGTACACGTGTTTGTTCCCCAAGAGCTTTATCCAATTTATATGTTCATTTGATATTCTTAGTCTTGTGGAACATAAAAAAAAGAATATAGATTTTAAAAGTCTTAAACTGTAAAATTGACCTGGAGAGCTGAGGAGGTGCCAGTGTGGAGTGGATATGAAAAATCCACATACTCCTGTGAAAATAGCTGGTATTTGTAAAGTAAGGAAAAATGTCATGTGTTTGTATTAAACAGCAGGTCGTCAAAAGCAAGTCAGTTCTTAGATTTGAAGAACAAAATGCAAGAAAACAAAAATTACAAGATAATTTTCAATCTCATTATCATGTCAGAAAATATTCTGATGAGATCAAGGTTCAGTATTTTGCCAATAATTACTTAATGAATGTTAGATTTGAAACAAATAAACTTCACCAAAGAACAGCGTACCAACCACTGTTAAACATTGTAAAGGGAGCATTATGTTGTTGAAGTTTTGTTTTGTTTTAATTAATACATTTTTATACAGGGTTGAGGAATTTAATACGAGTTATGAATGCCAGTGAGTCAGTGTTACCAAAAAAACATTTATTAAATTATTGAAAGCTGAAGAGGAACTTCATATTTTTACGCACAATAATTACTTAATGTATGCAGCTAAATCAACAAAATAATGGAAGAAGATAAAAGTTTTTGAACGACCCAGAGATACTCCAGATTACAATCTAATTGACAATCTGCAAAGTGATTTGAATAAAGTTGTGCAAAGGAGATCTGACAGATTTGAGTCAGACTATTTTGCAAATTGGAGTGGGCAGATAATAAAAATCTGCCACTTAAAATATGTTTCATGCTGGTAGATTCAATTGCTGAAATCAATTGAAAAGATGCTTCTAAAAACTATTAATTTAAAGCTAATATGGTATTTATTTTAGCATATTATTTTACTTTTTTCATTTAGTTTCTCAGGATCCAGTTGTTTTTCAACCGAGATGGAAAAAGTTTTGAAATATCTTGGTCTCTTTTAAGATTATGTGTTCTCCCTGTGCTTCTGTGGGTTCTCTCAAGGGACTCTAACTTCCTTCCATTGTCCAGTGTCCAATGACAGACTCCTATATAGGCAATGACTGAATGGATGCTTGAAGCATGAGGGATGGATGGATGGCCTCTCTCTTTAAAATCACAAAAGCTTAGCATCTTATCAGGGATGTGTAGACTTTTTACATCAACTCTGTAGATCAGGAATGACTCTCATTGGTACAAGTGTCTTTTAGACAGGTAAAGGTGCTGCAGTCTTTTGAGGTAGGAAGCCCAGGTTGTGGAGGTGGAGAACTAGCAGTCTGTGATGCTTTGAGAGACACAGACAGTAAACAAAGCCATCCCCAGAGGAGGCCCTGACAGTTTTGATCAACCCACAATTACAGGGTGCTTTCATCACTTTGCAGAGCAGGGCACGGAGGCATTATTTGAACGCCACACATTACTTTAACTCTGGCAGACAGCACTTGGCATCCATTGCATTTTGTCAATTATCATTTGGAGGGGCAGGGGGTGCACATTAAAAATTGAAACGAACATCAGTGGCCACCCAAGAGTCCAAATACTGTGAGTCACTCTTTAACAAATGGTCACTGTACCGATATGACCCTACTGTGCCAGAGAATGTTGTGCCTGTCCACTTGCATTTGTTAAGTCCCTATTAAGGTTCTCATCAAGGCACCCAGCAATGCCCACCTACCTCGACTGTCCCGGTGAAATCCATTCTCGCATTGCACTCATGTGGAAATAAGCCTGTTTACCACCAGCGGGTCACACATGCTAATGAGCGTCTGTTTGTTTTCCACTGTGCTCACACAGGAGGAAGGGAATTTAGGGGGAAATAATAGATGATATGCAGACAACAACCCAGGTGGCCCTGCAGCACTAATGATGAAAAATGTTCCACACACACATATTGAAAATGAAGGCATAGTTTATACATTTGCTCAAATATTATACAAGAAAATATTACATATATTTGAGCAAATATATATGGCTAGGTGTTAAAGGTCATTGTCCTGTTAGAAGGTGAACCTCAAACTCAATCGCAACTCCTTTGCAGCTTCATACAAGTTTTATTTTACTGATTTTGTTTTTCTCCGTGTGAACTTGAGAAGCATTTAGGACGACGGACAAAACATTTTTCAGAAGCAAAAAAGAGAAGAGAAGAAATCCAGACACCTGTTAATTAAGCAGTTCGAAACTTCAATGTCCTGGATGACTGAGAATCAACATCAGCATGCTTCCCATGTGATAATAAGCTGAATCCTCATTGCTGCCACATTGCATAATGTTTCAGTCTTTGTGACTAATGTACCATCAACTGAGGCTCCATGCATTCCTTTGTCAATAAAACAGAGATATGACAATCATTTTATACAATTTAGAATGGCACTGCCTGTCATGGAATTGGATGGCTTGTTGGATATTTGTGGAGGAATGGATGTATGGACAGACAACATCCATAAATATTTTTTGTGGCGTTGAAAAATTACTAATTCACATATTTGAGGAGTACCTTAATTACCTTCATGATTGTGTTTTATGACCATTTGTAAACTACTCTATCCCCAGCCTTAGGTTTCCCACACAGTCTAGGAAAAGTCTGGAATCTTAATTAAATATTTTCATTGTCTGTATCAGAAAAAAGGAAAGTAGAATTTGGTAAACCTGTTGTATTTCAAAAACTTTACTTTGTATTCCACTGTTCAAAAGTTTCAGCCATCCACCCATTTTATAGCAATTTAATCATTGCTATAAAAAATCCCAACAAAAGTTAATCACTGCTGATTTGGGATGTCATTGTTTGGAGTTTCCAAACCAGTGATGCATTCAAAAATGTTCAAAGGATGCAGTAATTACATAAATCCTCAGTTGATGGTGCATTAGTCACAAAGACTGCAAAATTACATAATGTGGAAGCAGAGAGGTTTCAACTTGAAAGACAAACTCCAAGGATTTTCTAGTTTTATTCATTTTTATTTTATCAGATTATAAGAAAACCCCTGTAAAGAAACCCAAATAGTTACGTAATTCCCAGGAATGGAAGGGAACCAGGATGGATGAAGGAAAGCATAATAAGGGAACCAGGTTGGATGGATGAATGAAGGGAAACAGGTTGGATGGATGGATGGATGGATGGATGGATGGATGGATGGATGGATGGATGGATGGATGGATGGATGGATGGATAGATGGAT